GGAGTCAGGTCCTCCCAAGTTGCCCTTGGCACTCAAGTTCTCTGCAGGCAGACATGGCCCAGAACCCTGAAGTGTGCTAACAGAAGGCTGATGGCACCCAGGCTGGTGGCATGAAGCCATACCCCAGGGGCTGGTGACGGAGGGCCTGTGGCCTTCACCAAGCGACTGCCCACAGAGCCAGCAGAATGTGTGGGATTGCCTCCTGAGGAACCCAACCCTGTCCCCTACACCTTCGTCTAAGTGACCACGCAGCTAGGCCTCTGTCCCAGGAACCGCCCCCATGTGCCTGCAGGCTCAGGATCAGTCTGTTAGTCATGTACCACATCTCTGCCCACCACCCACCAACCATACTCCAGGCCCTGCTGACCTCTTGCAAGTTGGCTTCTGTTCTCCCCAGGGTACAGATGAGGAAGTAGGGCACAGAGAGGTTAAGCATTAGCCTGAGGCCACAAAGGAAGGAAAGGCAGAGCTGGAAACACCCCAGAGCCTGGCCCAGAGTTCACGCCCTTAATCCTGGAGCATCCTGTCCTTCATCCATCAAGCTTTTGATACCTTTTACTAAGGACCGGCTACAGGGACAGCTTGTTGAGGCTCAATGGGACACCCTCTCCTATGTGTCTGGCCTATCCTGGCTGCCATGGCCCAACCAACTCAGGCCTTCTTACCCTGGCATGCATTCATTCAAGCCTTGAAGCCTCCTCACACATTGGACTAGTCATGGGCTATATGAACTGGGCCACATCCACCATAGGGAAGAGCAGAGCTGACCTCTGGTCTACTCCAGCAATCTGGACCTCCGGGGCCCACCAGGCTCTTTTAAGCAACCTAGCACCTGGGGTCTCTCCTCCACCAGGAGGAAAAAAGCCAATTTTCCCAGAAGGATGGACTGAGTCTGCCAGCGTGGAACCCAGGTACCATCTGCCCTAAGCTGCCACCTGACCCATGTGGCCTGACCACAGCCCAGGAAGCTGGGTTGGAACTATGCCTCTGAGTCTGTTTTTCCACCTGACAAATGGGAACACAGCCTATCAAGGGCTCTCTCAGGAGTCTGCTGGGGGCCAAAAGGGCGCCGGCCACTGCAGAGCCCCACATGGCAAGAGGCCATTGCAGCTGTGGGAGGGGGAGGTGGGTCAGAGAAGGCGCCAGAGCAGCCAATCTGCAGGAGGGAGTTTGCCAAGTGGAGAGAGATGGGCAGGCCTGGGGCAGTCCAGACAAGAGGATATGCAAATACACTCCTATACACACACACACACACACACACACACACACATGCACACACACACACGCACGCACGCACACATGCATGCATACATGTATGCACACAGCACAAAAACCCAGGCACCAAACTATGCAAGGCAGAGACAGAAGGGAGAGAGCAACAGGTCTGGGAAGACTTGAACACCATGGCCTAAGAGGAGGAGCTCCCATCTACCTTAAGGCAGCCTTTGTCCCAAACTGCTTGGAACAAGCTGGATCATGGTACTACTGAGCCCCCTGAGTAAGGAGGACACCAGTGCTCACCTTGGCAGATGAGGCTTATAGGCGAAGCAGACCTGCCCAAGTTTGATCGGGCCTCTAGTGATAGAGCTGACACACAAATTTGATCCTTTTCACTTCATCTCACAATCGCGTTAGGCTGGCTTTGTGGATGGTAACAAGCTTAAAAGTACCCCATGCTGCTGACACATCTTGATATAAATTCGCAGGGCCAGCTTAACTGTCACCTCCCAGGGTCCTTTCCAGGTCTCTTCCCTGCCAGGCAGAATCTCATAACCTATGTGAGGGTCCTGCAACCTAACCCTAGCAGACTGGTGATATGCCTGCCTCTCCCAAGGCCTAAGGCTCTGCCAGCCCTAGAGACCCTGGAGTTTCCTGCTGGCCAAGTTTCTGAAAGACACTGAGGACGCAATACAAAGGGGTCTTGGAGAAAAGGTTTCCAGACCATGTTAGATAGCAGGCCATGGGGAACAATCCACTTCTTTATTTGCAAGAAACTGGCAAACGTGCCTGGGACACTGGGCCAGGACTGCAACCCAGACAATCAATCCCATATCTGCCTTGGGATTCCCATCCCCAGTGCCAAGGGCCCTGTCAGGAGGGAGGGGAGGGGTGAATCTGGGTGGAGTGTGGTTACTAAGCACCAATTCCATTCCTACCATTTCCTGGCTGTATAGCCCACCATCTCTGAGCCCCAGTTTCCCCATCTGCAAAGTTGGCACTAAATGGCTTATCCTTGGAGAGAGAGCACTGGAATAAAGAACACAAATGTCACTCTGGCCTGGCTCCAAACCCAGCTCCAATACTTCTCTTTTACCTCTCTGTGCCTTAGTTTCCTTACCTGGAAATGGCTCAGTAAGGTCTCCCTCTTGGACTTCTTGGAGGAGGGAGGGGGATTCAGAGTTCACAGGCAACGTGCCAGCCTCATGTGACTGCAGTTCCAAAGTGGGTGCCACAGAGCCCCAGCCACATAGGGGTCAACAGGGGAAGGACAGGTGGAGGAGCAGGGAGAGCCCCTTCACCTTGGACAAGGCAGGTGGGGTCACCTGTCAAGCCCAGGACTCAGAGGGTGCCCAGGCCCCAGAAGGCCCAGAAGGAGTCCCCAGGGGTCAAGGAACATGGACAAGATCCCACAGATATACCAGGGCAACACTCATCACAGCCCTACCCTACCTATGTCCCATTTTCTTGTGAAAACAAGAGGTCCAATTCACAGCAGCTGAAGAGCCTGAAACTGTCCCCAGCAACCTGCACTAGTGGGTGGTCTGTGACCCACCCATACACAGCCGAGGGTGAGTGTTCCTGTATCCAGATGAGGAAGCTGAGGCCTAGGAGGGCCAGGGCTTATCCAGAATCAGTCACCCTGCCACCCTGAAACACCAACAACTACCCTCCCTACACAGCACTGTGGCTCCACCTCTACCTGAAGCTGTCCAGGGCCCCTGGAAGCTGCAGAAGCTTCCTCAAGTACAACACCATCGACCTCTGACCTCCTCCTTGTAACATACTTTTCCTTGTGTGTGTGGGAGTGCCCTGTGTCTGTGAGAGCTTGTGCCTGTGCACCTGTGTGCAATCCAGTTTGTGACTGTGTGTCTGTGGGCATGGATGTGTATGCAAGTGCATGTGTGTGCACACCCAGCATGCATGAGTAGTGTCTGTACATGTGTGCATGTGAGGCACACAGACTGGCACAGCTGTGTGTACACAACTGTTCTCATGTGTGTGTATTTGTACATCTGTATCTCCTTGTTGTGCATTGGTATGTTTGCAAGCACGTTAAGGATACCACCTATGTCTGTCTGCACAGCATATGTGTGCACACACAAGGACTACAGGTTAGAGAGGCCTGGGGGTAAACGTGGGAGCATGCCTGCATGTGTGTCTACTTAAGTGAGAGCACCAGGGCCATGTGTAAACACAGAGTCATTCAAGTCTCTTCTTCCTCATGAACATCTCAGCCCTCAGACATTCTGGGCCACAATCTGCTCCTAAAAACCTTCTTGGTTCCCAGACTCCTCACTTCCACTAAGAATTCCATCTCCACCCCATCCCACATTGAGGCAGAATTCTACCCTGGCACCCCAGCACCAACCAGTTGCAAATCCTGTCAGCATTCCTTCCTCTCTTTTGGGCTTTTCTGGTCCCAGCTGAGCTCTCCAACCTCTCACTGGGCTCTTAGGACAGCTTACAAGTGTCCCTGCTTCTAGATGGAGGCTTTCCAATGGCCTCTCCAAGGCAGCCTCAGGGATCTGGTTCAAGCACATCTTCAATAGTACTACCTGAATTGCAACCCTAAATGCCTCCATACTATCCCTGGGATCCAATGCTCTAGAGTGGTGTTTATGGTCATTCATAATCCTTTTGTACCATGTTGCCAGTTTCTCCTACTAGTCTGCTGCACCATTCTCTCCACCAGTTACTTTTGGGTCACCTTCCAGAACTCTGTCTAACCTCTGAACCCTGTCCATTTGTTACAGGGCCACTTCCTCTGTCGGGATTTCTCTGCTTCTCCATAAAACAGAGTCAGATAGGGCCCTTTTCCTTGCGCTGAAGTACCTAGTGTGGGATCTGGCATACAGTAGATGCTTAATATAAACTTGGGAAGCTGAATTGGGGGTGGGAGACTGGAGAATGCCTTATGCAGCCAATACACACCCTTCTCCAGAGGGGACTCTGGTGGTTTTTTTGCTTTGTTTGTGGGGGGAGGGGGGAGTTGAACTCAGTGCTTTGAATTCAGAGAGGACTCTTCGTGCCACCTGGGAGGTACTCTTTGCCAGGCCTGGTTGATGCCATATTGCACCCACACAGAAGTCATGACCCCAGACCCACCAGCAGCCATTGTTACCGTGCATAAGATCCCTTCATTTGCTCTGAATTGGGACCAGGCTCCAGCACTTCTGAGGATACTCATCTCCACCTCCATTGCCCTAATACCCACTACCAAGGAGCCACAAAGTGGTGTAGGGCTTGGACGCTGGTGCACTGGCATACACAGATCTAGACTTGAACCCCAGGCTGGGCCAGGTGTGTGACCTCAGGCAATGTACTTCCAGACCCTGAGGCTCAGTTTTCTCACCTATACAATGGTGATGGTTACAGCTACTCCCTCCAGGGGGGTAAGGAAGAAGAAAAGTTAACTTTTCCTGCTTGCGCACTCCTTACAATGCACTTAATATTTATATGGTCAGAGGCATTACAGCTACTATTATTCCCAGGTACTAGACAAGAAAGCCCAGGTCCTGAGCCCTGGAAGGACAGATATACTCCGAGGCTACACTGGGAGGTGGCAATAGATTAAAACCAAAGGTCCAAGTCCCTGCCAGGGCACCTCTGTTTTCTGCTATCTGGTTTGGAAGTCCAGGGAAGAAGGGGAAGGTGAGCAGTGAGCTGCTCATATTCCTAGCTCTCCAAGCCATGGATTCACATGGACTGCTGCCAGTGGTCCCGCACCACACAGGCCCCCATCGGCAGGTGTGCCAGCAGGGCTGGCCCCACGTGCTTACCTGCAGAGGCTTCTGGCAACTGATAAGGACTTGAGATTGCTGGGTATCAGGAGAGGGAGGGGGCAGCTCCAGGCCCACTATATCCAAGCACAGTTGCTGCAAAGTCCTATGAGAGAGCAGAGGGACAGTGAGCTCCAGAGCTCATCCAGCAGGCAGTCCCCCGTCCCCTTCCCTGAGCTCAAGGTCCTGCCCATCTCCTAGAAGACAGAACCAGTCCACCCAAGGGGAGCACCCTAGAAACGGGAGGAGGGGAGGTTCCCTCCCACTTAGGAAAGGCACGGGCTCCTGAACTCCACACTGAAGTCAGTGGCCTTCGCAGCCCGCACAATAGCAGCAGCCATACCACATGCCCACCAGTGTGGCAGGCCAGTCAGCCTCCTTCCCCCAGCCTTGTCACATGCGGGGGTCCTGCCCACAACTCTTGTTCCCCACGTCTTTGTCTTTCCAAGCCCTGCTGACCTTCAAGCCCCTGCTCAGATGCTTCTGTGAGGCCCTCTGCCCTACCCCTTCTTTCTTTCTTTGCTCCCCAGTGAGCCTGGAACCTCATAGATCCTGTCTCTTGAAGGCTTCCACGGGCCCCTCCCACGCTCGGGGCAGAGCCCCTGGACATCAGGAAGGAGGTCTAGTTTACCTGTCTCTGGGCTTATTAGTAAGGACCACAGAGATGGTTTGACAATTGATGGGTGGGTGGGTGGGTGGGTGATTGAGTGAGGAGTGAGAATCACAGTTCTGGTGCACTGAGGAGTTTAAGAAACAAACTGAACAAAGGAGGCCAACCACCATGTACCTTGAAATCAGGAAGCCCACTGAGACCTCCAAAGCAGTCCCATGTCCTTTTCCTCCTGTCTGGCTCTAGAACCCCGAGGTCAGGTTGATGAGAGCCTAGACCTGGTGGTACTGACACTCTTCTCTGCCATTTCACAAACAAGGAAACTGAGGCCCTGATAAGGAAGGGGTTCCTCCTCCGGCAAATGGAAGTGGCAAGGCCAGCAGTAAAACTCATGTCCTGGCCTTGCCCACTACCCAAAGCTATCAGGCATAGAGGCTGCTAGGAGACTCCTCCAAGTCTCCTGGTGTCCCCAGACACCTGCTCTCCTGGCTATTGAGGGCCAAGCTGGCCATGGAAGGCAGTTTTGGTAGCAGAAGGCAGCAATGGGAGGCTCTTGAGGTTGGAAAAGGTAGCTCAGGAAAGACCACACTCAACAGTGCCACCTGATCTGATGTCCCTACTTCCCCCAGCCTGGAAGCCTGAGGCTTAGGGCAGGCAGAGGAGATATCATAGGCAGCCCCTTTTCAAACGTCTCCACAGGTGCCCAGAGACACCTCTCAAGCCTATCTTCAGCTGACAGCTCTTTCTCAAATCCCTCCGGTCCCCTAGACACTGCTCGGGGGGTGCACACTCATGCCACTCCTTTGGAGAACAATGTGGAAGCATCTCCTGTCCGTCCAGTGGCCTATCCCACGACCCAGTCACTCCGTTTCCACAGAGATGAGTGCATTTGTTCTCCAGCAGTGCTAGGTCTAACAGCCACAGAACAGGTACAGCTACACATTCACACCAGTTACCTCACAACCTCAACAATGAGTGACCTGCCACTGTGTCCAGAAACACAGATTCATCTGCAAATGCAACACTGATCTAAAAAATCAGACACAAGAGTCACTGTACTTACAATCCGTTTATACCAAGGTCAAGAAGGGCAGTATGACTCTGCTGTATGCCCACAGCAGTCTGAACCTAGCCACAGCGTCTGTATCTCCACCCCTGAATCGGGATTTCAGTTCAGCAAATTTTGATTCAGTGAAGGTAACGTGTTGTGGAGCACAGAGACTAGGCCTCAAGAGATCCTGTCATTCCTGACCTTGACACTCTTTGACCACTGCCAGGTCACAGAAGGAAGCCAGTCTACTTCATTAGAGAGTGGAGAACTGAGACCCAGCCAGCAGCCAGCACCAAAGGCTAGGTGACTGAGGCTATCTTGGAACTTCTGGTCCAGTAGGCCCACCAGGTGTCTGGAGCCACATGAGCCCAAGGGAAACCAAAAGGGGGACAGCCTAGTCAAGCCACAGACTGACGGAGAGTTCACATGGTGGCTGCTTGAGGCCACTTGTTTTGGGGCAGGTTGTTTGGTACAACAGATAACTGGTAGCAGACTGTTGGGAACGAGGGGAACCAGGACCCTCTTTTCCTTGAGAGAAGTGACTGGAAGGCTTCTAGGAAGTCTGGAATGTTCTCTTTCTGGCACATGGTGATTATACAAGCACACTCACTTCAAGACAATTTGTCAAGCTATGTATTTAGGATGTGACACTTTCTTTTCTTTTTTCTTTTTTTTGCAGGGATGTAACACTTCAATAGCAGAAAAACAAACAAATCCTGAGGCTCTGGCCCAGCCCCATCCTGGCTTGTGGCCCACCTTCTCCTCTTTGCTCACCCACCGCTACCTCACATTCTGCACCTGGGATGCCCTTTCCTTTCTTATCATGCTTCGGCCTGCAGCCAGGCAGCACCTCCTCCAGGAAGCCTTCCCTGAACCCCTCCCCTTTGCTGGAGGCCACAAGCACACAGTGCTAAGGCTGGGCCTGCCTCGGGGAAGGATTAAGCCTTTTTCTTCTTCTGTCTCCCCAGCCCTTGGAGCTCTCCGAGTAGATGCCCTGTCAGGGTTAGGCAGCATCCCACCTCCTCTTCCCCAATGTGGGGACCCCCACAGTCACCATGTGATGATCAGCAAGGCTCCAGGGGGTTAGGGACTAGAGATTACAGGGTTACGTGCCAACACAAGACAGGGCAATCCTCCTCCAGGGCCCAGCTCCTCCTACACAGACTGAAGGGAAGGCTGAACCTGGGGCTGCAAAGAGGTTCCATGTAGTGGAGGGTCATATGGGGTCCCCTGTTTGGTAGCTGCTAATGATCCCATAAATGTACACAGCTCCTCCTCCCCTAATTACCTATTAAAATAAGGTCATCAGACTCACAGGCAGTCCTACAATGCTATGGCCTTAGAAAGAGCAATGCAGACTGCCAGGAAGGACATCAGCTCCACTACAATCCTTCAACCCATGTCTCATGTCTCATCTCTGAAGGTTACTTCCAGCAGCCTGCACAGCCCTCCTGTGGGGGGCCCAGGCAGGGTCTCAGCTAACTCCCAACCCCTAGGCCTCTATGACATACCTGTGCTATGTTCTCCCTTCTATGGGTCTCTTGCCCCCATCTTTGCAGCTCCAGCTTCCTCCTTATGCAGGTGTGACCTCTGGGGAGTCCCTCTGTCCAGCTTCCCCTCCTCCTACCCCTCATCTGAATGATTGGCTTATTCAACAATCTCTGACAGGTCAGTTTTCTCTCTCTGGTGAGGGCACTGGGTTTGCTAGGCCAAGGTGGTTCCTCAGGTCTTTTTCTGCTTTCCTCAGGTGTATGTACCAGCAATGGTGCCTGCCAGTATCAGGCTAAAACAACCAGCCCAGTCCATTAGGCACAGTTCATAGCACCCGTCATCTATTCCCCTGCCTCAGGCACCTTTTGCTAAGAAAAGAAGTTCCCTGTCCAGCAGAGTGGCACAGACAAGCCAGGGAGTGGCTAGGCTGGGCAGTGGAAGGGTGCCAGCTCCTGGAGAGAGGTTCTGTCCTAAAGCAGAAGTGACTATAAGAAAGAGTACATAAGAGCAGCTTAGCCATGGGAGAGGGGGTTGGTACCCTGTCCCCAGAGGCAGGCATACAAGCAGAGGGAGAGGCCACATGGGGTGGTGGGTGCTGAGAGAACCAGAAGGGAGCTGGACTCCTCTGGTGGGAAGAATCACCCAGCTGATTGTTAAGCCCATAGCATCTTGGGCCTCCCCTGAGAATGGCAGTCGTGGGTCTGGAAGCCAGCCCAGAAATTTAAATTGTTAACCAGTCCTCCCAGGTGATCTTCTGCATCTGTAAAGTGTGGGGAACATTGGCAGGTGACCTTCCAGGTCCCTCTGGGCCAAGAGATTAGTGATTCTGAATCTCCCCCTCCAGCCACCCAAGCCCATCTGGAAGGCACTGGCCAGGCAGTGGCCTGGATTCATTAAAAATGATTTAAACATTAGGAGGGGGTCAAGATGTTGGTAGTGGTTGGGGGGTGGGTCTCAGCCCTGGTGCTAACCCTGCTCCTTTCTAGCCCCCTGAGCCCCCAGGGCCACTCAGAAAAGCTCAGCTTTGGGGGAGGGGGGCGTGACAGCTGTTCAGCTGGTGCTCAGTGAGGCCCCGGAAAAGCAATTATCTTGCTCTTAGCAGAGAGGCGCTGGCTTTTACCCGCCCCTTCCCTCCCTCCGCCCTCCCGCCCACCTTCACACACACACACACACACACACACACACACACACACACACACACACACACACTCCCTCGCCCAGGCCAAGATGCTGTTGCGGTTCTGAATACTGCCCACCCGCCCCCCGCCCCAGCCTCCAGATTTCTCTGCTTCGCTCACCCTCCATCCTCCAAGCACATTTCCAATGCTTAAATCATTTAGTCCGCTAAACCGGAGACAGCAAATGGGTGCTATTTCTTAAAAACATACAGAGAGCGTATTAAATTATTGATAGCCATTAAACAGGGGGAAAAATTAAACAGCTCTCAGCTCTTATCAATCATTCATGCAGTTTCCACTGGGGTGTTTCTGGAGAGTGATCACTTGGGCAACCCAGGGAGCTGGCTCCTGCCTGCAAGGAGGGCAGTGGCTGGAGGGCAGGAGGACAGCCCAGTCCCCAGCAATCACCATGGGAAGGGACAAGGCAAGGGCGGGGCAGGGAGGTCAGGCTGGCCACTCAGAAACACTGGCCTCCCCTCTCTTCCCCACATCATTAACAAAGGGAGACTCCAACACCCCTTAATTAAGCCCAGCCTGCTTTTATTAGGCACCTACTTACTATAGATCAGGCCTGCAGGATGCAAAGATAAACAAGCTCGAAGGTCCCAGCCCATGTGAATGGGGGAGCCCCATGCAGGAAAATGGGATTACGCTACACAACGAGGGAGTGTCATGGAGGTCCTCGGCGAGGTGGTGCAGCTCTGTCTGGAGAGGCAGCTGCCAAGGGAGACTGTGCCAAAAAAGTACTTCTTTGGATAAATTCTTGGATAGGGACA